TTCTGGTTTTGCTTGGAAAGCAACACTAGATTTCTGGGCCTGTACATTCTAAAAGAGGCCTGTCAAATTTGAAAACAAAATAAGAGCTGACAGAAATCAGCTACTAACAAATTAAGTTAAATTAATAAAATAGATGCCTGAAATACAAAGAAAATGGGTTTTTTTCCAGGAATCTCCCTCCCTAGAAGCCAGGCTAGATATAGAGAATAAGGGGAACCTCAGTCTCCACAATAAGCCTTTTTCTGTGCCTTGTCCTATTTCCTAGAGAGCCCGCAGAGGAAACCTCTCCAGAATTTTTATGCCCCCTAGTGACAGCTCCAAACTCCCATCTGCTAATTTTGTAGGTATATTAAGGAGAGTAGTTTGAACAAAGTGCTTAGACCAAAAAAGTCTTTTCAAATCTCAATTCTGCCATTAGAGAAACTATCCTTTGAGCTAAGCAGTTTGCTTTTTATGTCACTGTCACTGTCACTCCCATTGTTCATCGATTTGCTCTAGCGGGCCCAGTAACATCTCCATTGTGACACTTGTTACTGTGTCTGTCATATCGAATATGTCACAGGTAGCTTGTCAGGCTTTGCCGTACAGGCAAGATACTCTTGGTAGCCTGCCGGGCTCTCCGAGAGGGGTGGAGGAATCGAACCTGGGTTGATCAGGTCAGCTGCGTGCAAGGCAAATGCACTACCCACTGTGCTATCGCTTTTTATGTAATACAACAAATTACATGCATATTTTGTTTCACATAGGTTTTTTCTTAACACAATACTTAAGAATTTTATAAAGACATACTTAAGCTTTTTTATGTCTGCATATGCAAATAATATGCAAATATTTATTAGAAATAATCCGCAAGTGATTTATCTCAGCATCTAGATTTCTTTCATTTCTGTGTTTCAGTCATAGGTCTGATCCTTATGACTTGTGTTTGATGGATGTTCTCCCTGCCACTTTACCAACTTTGTGGGAAATTTTTTCTAGTCTTGAAATTTAGGCATAAGGCAGTATAGTTCATCTATAACATCAGTTCCTGAAAATTCTGATGTAGCTACAAAAGCTTCACTCCCATACCTTGAAAGAGATATTGGGCGCAGTATGGTTATGATGTTTATATCTTTTGCTTAAGATCGTGAAAGTATGGTATTTCTGTGGAAGAAAATATGTTAATAGTGAGCTCTATTCTGTGGGAGGAGGGTGGCAATATCCTATACCCTATACCCCTGACTTTTAAAAAAATTTTTTTTTGCTTTTTGGGTTACACCTGGCTATGCACAGGGACTACTCCTGGCTTTGCACTCAGAAATTTCTCCTGGTGGTGCTCAGGGGACCATATGGATGCTGGGAATCGAACCTGGGTCAGCTGCTTGCAAGGCAAGCGCCCGACCCGCTGTGCTATTGCTCCAGCCCCTGACTTCCTTCTTTATAGTCTCTCTCTCCCCTCCTTACTTTTAACACTCTCTTTATTATTTTTTTTAATTTTTAGTGAAACTCCATATGGTACAGTTGATGACCTTACAAATTTTTGTGCTTGGGTTTCAGTTAAACAATGATTGAGTACCCATCCCTCCACCAGTGCCCATTCCTCACCTCCAATGCTCCCGGCATCCCTCTCACCTTCCCCCCCGCCCCATCCCACGCTACCCCTGTGGCAGGGCATTCCCTTTTGTTCTGTCTCTCCTTTTGGGTGCTGTGGTTTGCAGAAGAGGCATTGGGTGGCTATCATGTTCTGTCTATAGTCTATTTTCAGCATGTATCTCTCATCCTGGGAAGGTCCTCCCAACACCCTTTACTTGGTGCTCCCCTCTCTATCTGAGCTGCCTTCTCCCTCAGAACAGCTTGTATGGCTGACCACCAAGCCATGGAGAGAAACTCCTGGTACTTATCTCGGCCATTCATGGATTAACACCCCTTAAATAATCCAGTATTATAAATGGAAAAGCCTTGGGAAAATCAAAAGATTATCTGGAAATTTCTTTTATACCTGATTTTAAAAGCTTCCTCTGTGGATAGAAAAATGAGCTTCGGTGAGATTTTAAAGTTTGGTGATTATAAGTTTAATTAGACATGAAAATTAAGAGATTTACCCATGGCAACTAGCTATAGTAGGACTAGTCTTTGGAAGAACCTGCCTTTTAGGCTCCTGTTCTAAATATTTAAATATTTTCAAAATGTCTATAAGGAAGAAAAATTTTTGAAAACAACCTTCCTAAATGACTTGACAGTTTAGCAAAAATTAAGTCAGTGAAACTGAATAATTATCTATTAAAGTGAATCATCCTGAAGATTCAGTTTTATTGAAATGTAATTCAGCTTGCACTTTCATCATTTCTTTCTTGAGGGTGTTATGAAGACATAAATATTCCTGGGATATTTTTAAGACATAGAATCAGAATTTAATCACTGTAGCACTGTAGCACTGTCCTCTCGTTGTTCATCGATTTGCTCGAGCGGGTCCAGTAACATCTTCATTTTGAGACTTCTTGTTACGGTGTTTGCATATTGAATACCTCATGGGTAGCTTGCCAGGCTTTGCTGTGCAGGCAAGATACTCTCGGTAGCTTGCCAGGCTCTCCTAGAGGGGCGGAGGAATTGAACCCGGCTCAGCCGGGCTGACTGCGAGCAAGGCAAATGCCCTACCGCTGTGCTATCGCTCCAGCCAAAATTTAATCATTTTCATTAAAACAGCCTTAATACCTGAAAAGATTTACCTTAATACCTGAAAAGATTTAATACCTGAAAAGAGATGCAACCGAGTTGGTTGTATCTCTTGAGGTTCCTCTGGAAAATAATGACATTGTTACCTAAAACATTGTATTGCTTACCAAAGATAAGTGAACTGTGCAGTCTCTCTCTTACATCTCTGAAGTAACAAAATTGCTTGAGAGAACACTTCTAACTTTTGATGGTGAGTGAATAAATCAGTGGGTAGAGTCTATCAAAATCGCTCATATACTCCGTCACAACTCATAAAACTAGCTCTAATTTAATGTCACAAAATCAAAGTGTTCTAGTAACAGAGCTGAGGTCTGGAATGGCATGCAATCAAATACAAACTGTCCAGAAACTTCCCTCTGTTAAGGTTTGCTATTACCTCCCCCATTTTAACAGAACTGCCCATGAGTAGATTGAAGGTTGGCTGATGCAAATCCTTACTTTTCCTCTTTCCTGCTTTTCTCTGACAGGAGGTAAGAGAAACCAGTTCCGAAGGCTCCTGGACAAAAGCCTGGTTGAGGAGACCTGATTCACTGCCAGACTGGTCACCCACCTCAGAATAACTAAGAGTGACTAGAGGTGGTGCCAGATTTCAAATACCATAGACTCTGGAGAGAATCCAGCAAGAGAAATGATGAAGAAAGAATTGTATAATAGGGGAAATTGTTGCTGGGACAGGAGGCCTGGCTCCCAGTCTTAGTTTTACCACCAAAGTCTTCTGACTTTTTCTGATATTTTCATGACTTTCCCCTTTCTTTGAAAAATAATCCACAGTACCTATTTGCCTTCTTGGTTAATGTGATATTAGGTGAACAGTTCTTTGGGTCCTTTGAAACAAAGGGGGTGGGAACAATCAAGAAGACGGAAATGACTTATATTAGGAGCCCCACAGCCACCTCTAAACCAACTGTTGAATGATTTATTGACCTAATATCCTACTACTTCCAGACCCTGATCTCTGAGTTTTCCACCTTTTTTTCTGATTTCCTATATCCACACACACTTTCCAGTGATTATCAGCCATGCCTAGTAACCAGTCATCAGTTTCAAGTAATTATTAGCCATCAATCTGCTTACCCACAATGACATAGGGCATTGTTCTTCGAAGTGGCATCGGTCAGAAAATAAAAACCTTATTGGAATGTATTTTGAAGGGTTTTGCTTTTATTCAGTAAAGTAAAAAAAAAAACAGACGGTGATTATTCTGAAATTCTCTACCATGAAGCTTATATATAGGTTTGGTTTTCATTCTGCTAGGCACTTTCTCTGTAGAGAAGCCTTTTATGGAAATTGGGAGATCTAAATTGAGTTTCGTGCCAAGAATGTTAACAGGCTAATGAGGACAGAGACACATATCTGAATACATAGAATCAGTTATAGCTGCATTATGATTGCTTTCAGTACACATATTAGGATCCTCTCATTGACATTTCATTCTCGGGTTCCTTGCTCCCACCGCCAAGTATAACAAAACTTTCTCCATTTTTTTTCTACCTACTTTCTACTGTCTGGCCAAGCCCTACTTCTTTTTGTTTTGAAAACACGCCCCTGAAGTGCTCAGGAGTTACTTCTTGCTTTACACTCAGGAATTACTCCTGGTGGTGCCCAGGGACTTTATGGGATGCTGGATATCAAACCTGGGTTGGCTACGTGCAAGGCAAATGTCCTACCAGCTATACTATTACTCCACCCCCCCTTCTTATTCTATATAACATTGCCTATACCTTGATATTCCTTCCCATCTCCATTTGTACTACTCACTCTAATATTATCTCTCAACTTTATTGTATCTTTCAAGAATTCTGTGTACTTGTGCTCTCTGTTCCAACTGGGTTTATTCATATCAAGTAATCAACCATCTGCATAAATAATAAAAAATACATATGTTTGTTATATTGGGTTTTGGGTTTCATTTTTAGGCATTGAGCAACTCAATAGTGTTACTAGTAATTTCTCAAGAATACAGTGTTGCCACACCACACCTACCAGCAGAGTACCAAAACCCTTCTCACTCCCAATCCACTGAACTAACAAAATCAGCTCTCTAGGCAGATTCTCAGTGACTGTTATTGTTGCCATTGTTTATTCCCTTTCTGTCTGTCTCTATATTCCATATGTGAAAAGCCTCCTCATTTCAAAGTGGAAGAGAGCTGGGTTCATGACTGTGACATGTTTATCCCTGTTGTTAACCAAGGATCCTGATTATTCCCTAAGGTTCTCTCTCCAGTAAAGAATGTCAAAAAGGAGTCAGCTGACCTGACCAGGTCTACATTTCTTTTCTGTTGCTCCAGGATTCTTCTACAGCCAGATGATTCCTTACAGATCCTGGCTCCAGTGGAAGCTGATGTGGGTTTCTACACTTGTAATGCCTCAAATGCCTTGGGATATGACTCTGTCTCCATTGCTGTCACCTTAGCAGGTAAAACATGAAAATTCCTGTTTGGTTCAATTTAGAAAATGCCAGTGGATATTGATAGTACTCCAAGTAGGCCCCAAGACACGTAGTTTTCTGTGAACCATGCTCTGTCTTCAGGAAGTGAAGCATATAGAAGCAAAGTTAAAATGGAGATAAAATGTAATATTAGGTAAAATAGGTGTCATAGATAACAGTCAAAGTGTGCAGGGATAGTTCATTGAATCTATCCTTTCATTGAAAGTCAGATAAATGGAATTTTGACAAGCAGAATGAGAGGAACTATTCCCAGCAGATAAAATCATATTCAGAGGACATATGTTGACATAAGAAGCATATGGGGAACACAAATCATGAGTCCTCTTTGAAGATTCTTTATTATTTCTTGTTGCTATTGCAAAAAAAAAGATTTTAAGACTCACGGATAATTGGAATTCTATGATTATGGTTTGGTGTAGGAATGTTCTTCTAGATTCTGCTTTAATTCAAATCTTACCCGAAGATAACTGCCAACAGATATCATTTATCTATAGATGTTGGGTAGAACATTCTGCATGTGGCAGCTTAAAAAATTGCAGTCAGAGTACAATGTCACTCAAGGTGATGGTCTTGTAATAATGCGTTTTCAAAGAAATTTTCTTACACGGGACAAATTCTAGCCATTGAAACTTAAAAAGTTCTTATATGCCAGTTTATCCAATGTTCTCATTACTGAGGCTGAGCAACTTGAGGTCACACAATCGCTTAGCTTTGCATTTGCAGTAAAGGGGAACTGAGGTCTCTTGGCTTTCTGATCATTGTTCCCTTTACTTCCCCCCTAATCCTACCAACATCAGGTCCTTTTCCCCGCATCTGGACCATGCAGTCTTCGTGGCAGTATGTGGCATGTGTTTGTATTTATTCTTTTCAATTGCTCCTTCCATCAGATGATTCAGTAGATGCTGGAAAATCCAACATCACCTCACACTGACCTCATCCATCCGAGCTGGGATTATGTTGTCACACTGTTCTCAGTCACACATGCTACTCCCTTGCATATCTTGTTAGCAATAGTATTTCTGCCCTCCATGACCTTAAACTGATCTGGAAAGGAACTTTTAGTAAGAAGCTCTTCAGGGAAGATGAAAGTCAGCAGTGAATAAAGCAAGTTAAGGAATCTTGGAGTCAATTAAAGACATATTATCAGTGCCTCTGTGTGTGTGAGTGTGTAGAACATTTGCTTTCCTCCTAATGTATTCCAGTTTCAACTTTTATTCTTATTTTATATATAGCCCAGATGCTCAGCTCCATCTTGTTAAATCTATCTGCCTTCCACCATCCACACTTTTTTAACATGGAACTGCTGACATCCTTCCCTTTACTACCAGATAGTGGCTTTTATAGGGTTAATTAATTCTCATGTTTACCCAGATAAAGTTAAGTGTTGTCACAGGGAAAATACCCTTTGTTTACCTGAACATTTTATAAAGTTAGTAGAAACCTATCTGGAATTAAGTAAGGCATAATTATAACATCATGCTTATCTTTAGCCCTTTGAAGAGGACTTGTTGGAGACCGCCAAACATTCAAAGCCAGAGAAGAGAGACTGACTAGCCAGAGTGACACCATGGAAGGGGGCATAAAGGGTAGAGGTTGGTGATGAAATTTGATCACAAACTCTACTCCATAGCCAGGGCTCAGGAAGTATCTGTGCTTCAATCCAGGGGTTCATTTAGCTCTGCTGTTTAACCTTAGGCATACTCGTGAGCACTCACTCTCTCTGTTCTCTCTTACATACATTATATGTAGATATATATAATACGTATACAACTATATATATAGTTATATAACTGTATTTTATATAACTATAGTTATATAGTATATAGCTGTCCTGTCTGTCACTGTCCTCCCATTGTTCATCGATTTGCTCGAGCGGGCCCAGTAACATCTCCATTGTGAGACTTGTTGTTACTGTGTTTGACATATTAAATACATCATGGGTAGCTTGCCAAGCTTTTCTGTGTGAGCGAGATAATTTCAGTAGCTTACCAGGCTCTCCGAGGGGTGTGAAGGAATCAAACCCGGCTTGGCCTGGCTGGCTGTGCGCAAGGCAAATGCCCTACCAGCCGTGCTATCGCTCTAGCCCTAGTATATAACTATAGTTATAATATAGCTATTATATAACTACATAGTTATATAATATACATAACTATATATTATATAGAACTACATATATAATTATACAACTATATATAAGACTATGCATCTTTACCTGGGATTATCATCTACATTTATGCTGTATCATCACTGGTATTAAGTGGCTCACCAGGTACTATTCTGACACAGTCTCTGTCAATCATTGTTGATGCACTGCAATAAATAAGGTCTGTTTTGTTCTCCATAAGGCTTAAAGGTCATCAAAGGTTTACAGATTATAAAGGACTACCTAGAATCAAAATGTAGTAATAATATTCAAACATATGTAACAAGATCCTATGTGGTGGTGTATCAAGACATTACCTAAAAATAACCTAAAATTAGAGATGAAAATGGGTTAAAACATCTCTAAATCTGTTTACCAATTAGACTATTTACTAGCTATGTGAACTATCTTGAATAATTGCATGACTTCATCTTTCAAAATGAAATTAGTATTTGAGAGCATTGTTGTGTGGTTAAACAAAATTGTGTGTGAAAAAGTACTTAACCCGATGCCAGGCACATAGCTCACACTCAGAAAATGTTTCTTTCTCTTTCTGTAGTTTTTCTAAAACAAAATGCACCCGAAAAGCAGTTGTAAATGGCATAAACCATTAGCCCAATTTTGCTTCCATGTACTTTTTATTGTAAGTCTTCACAGTAAATGTTTTCAAACATAGATTTATGAATTTGATTGAACTCATTTATGATCAATTCTCATAATCAATCTAAATATTCCTGTACCTTTAAGAGAATGAAGAACTTATATCTTCATTTCAGTGTGAATATAGTCCAAAAAAGGAAAAGGAATGAGGCTCAAGATACAGGTGTCCCAGATTTTACAGGAAAGATATGTCTTTGGTCTATTCAGTGAGACTGAGTTAATCAAATGCACAAATTGGTTCATAATTAGTTCTGAGCAGTTGGACCCTAGCAGTGATACCTACTAGTTCTTAGAGCCTTGTGGTGGAATATGAATCCTGGCTCTGTCACTTCCTTGCTTTCTAACCTTGAGTAATTTATACTCTCTTTTTCAGGATCTTTATTTGTAACTGGTGATAATAGTAATTGACTCAGAGGGGTTTTGTGGGGTTAATATAAATGTATTGTACATTTCATATATCATATCATTTGTAATGTCATTGTCATTTATTGTGATAACCACCCATTTAAAATAAAAGCAAGCTTAACTATGTTTATGGAAGGGCCAATTCCTTTTACAGAGCTCCCAAATATGTAGAGTTTCTCTTGCTATCCCAGTGTTCACCGGGAAAGTTGGAATTTCTATCTGAAAAAATAAAAAAGTTATAGTTCCTGGCTTTGAAGATGACTTGAGATGAGGAGTAAGTCACATGGGCCATATGATGAACTCTCCGTCTTTTGGATTTTGTGTGTTGTTAAATCTGCTTCTCAGATTTATTCCCTGGACAAATTTTTCTTTAAATATCTAAACACCATTTAATTTTAGAACCCATATAGTTATACCTTCCTTGTTCTGCTTCCTTGGGCTTATAAAATATTCTCTTGTGTGACTTTGCTTCTCTCCAGACTCATTCATTGTGTGTGTGTTTTTTTCATTGATTTTGTACATGATTTCATCTGTTAAGTTTCAGAAATTTGTGACACTTTGCAAGTGTCTCTCTGCATGGAAATTATCAGTATTTTCTTCTCTTCCTTCCTGCCTTAGCCCAGGAAATACAGTCATGTAGAAGCACTGCCACAAAATCCCTTTTCATCCTAGATTGACTTAATCTTCAATTATAATAACTGTTATAATATCTTCAGTTATAATAACTGTTTTTTTTCTTTTTTTATTAGTGAAACACCATGAGGTACAGTTAACTGTTTTGCTGCTGAGGGCGAAGGTAGATAGTAGCATATGGCAAAGGAAAGTAACAGGGATAAGAAGGAATATCACCATTATGGAGAATATCACATCCATGTTGAGGGATGGGTATTGGAACATTCTATGAAACCCAAAAAGAAATTTAAAAAAAAGTCACCAAAATGTCACACTGTAACATTTTTAATACTGGTTACTTTGTGTCCAGGAGGGGGGTGGGGATGGGGGGTAGGTAAAGGGTTGTTTCTGATGTGTACAAAGATTAGAGAAGTCATCTTGACTAGTTAGATTCAGCACTCAGCCAATTGCTCAGAAATCTCCCAAATCTGAATGGTGGAGGCTGAATTTTGAAGGAAAGCAGTAGTTTTCTGTTAAATTGCTTCAGTCTGGTTCTATGGGGTTTTATCCCTATTTACCAATGCAGATGAGACCTGTCCAGGTGTAGACCATTGATGAGGTCATAGTCATAAGGGAAACCTTTTTGGTTGTCATTGATTTCATAAGATCACAAAAGAGATACTGTAAGGCCTGCCTGACATCATCAATGGAAAATGAGAAGAAGATGAGGACTGAGGGATGAGCATATCTCTCATTGAATGGAGAAAACACAGATGAGCTCATCTAAAGTTTTCACAGGAAGGGAGAGACAGAAAATATTTCTTCTTTCCTGGCATGTTTTCCTGCTTTTTATGAGTTGAATAGCTGACACATATTGCATCTAATAAAGAGATCACAGAAACCTCACAGGGAAAATAAAAATAAAAGGCAGTTGTTTGGGGAATTTTTTTTCTCTGCCCCCTCCCCATTATGATTTAGTAGCGTCAATAAAAGACAAACCATTTGTATGCTTTTCATAATGCAAGTCAGTTCAGACTGGCATTTCTGAATTTTTCATCCAGCAGTTCTGTTAACCAAAGGATAATTTTGCTCTATGGAGAGACTGAAGACTGATGCCTCTTATTAGTGGCAATGACTGACAAAGCAA